ATCTTCAAGTCACTCAAATTTGTTGAAAATGTAGTGCTTTGAATTTTTATACAGTTTTAAACTAGTAAGAGTTTATTGGTAATCAAACTGAGAAAAAGGAAGAATTCTTCCTTACCATATTATGTTCATGTCACACATATACTGAAAGAATCACTATGTTATCCATATCAATGACTTCATTAAATTTCAATAGTAAATACTTTTCTACTTATTTTTGTTCCATAAATTGGTACCACTCCCTATCATTAGCCAGTCCCCAAATTTATCTAACTCTGTGATATAATAAGAAAATGATATCTTTTTGCCAGACTTTCCAAGAACACATCTTTCAAATAGTCTCTCACCATTGTTTTGACAAATGTGTATGTGTATATTAATCTTAGCAATTCAAATTATTCCTTTATATATAGTCTCTAGAACATTAATATTATGTATGAAACATTCACCATCAGCTTCTGTTAGCTTTTTTTATCTAATATTCTATAAAATAATTCTTTGTCTTTGGATTCATTTTTAGTTATTATTATAAATGACAAATAAGGCTGGGTGTGGTGACACACACTTGTAATACCAGCTACTCAGGAGGCTGAGGCAAGAGGATTGCAAATTCAAGGCCAGCCTCAGCAACTTACTGAGACCCTTAGTAATTGAGTGTGACCCTGTCTCAAAAAAAAAAAAATAATGACTAGGGATGTCACTCAGTGGTATAGCACTCTGGTCTGCTCAATCTCCAGAACCTAAATAAATAAATAAATAATAAAAATGAATAAAAAGGACAAGTAAGTTAATGATTATTTTGTGAAACAGTATAGTTATAGTCAGTATATCTTTGCAAATAAATACATATGGTCTTAGCACTTCACAATTAATACTACATAATTCAATTCATGAGGAGTCACAATTCAAGATAAAATTAGTATGAAAACTCTTTTGGTGTTAATTTCTTTTCAGTCACCTCTATTGTCATTTATTTTGACCACTATGGCCTCATTGAGAAAGTTGTGTCTTTTCTTGACAAAAATCCATGTTTATTTCATCATCAGTAAATTAAGGTTAAAGACTGATAATACAGATTTATTTCCACAATTTAGAAATATTAATAAATATAATATGAAGTCACAATTTAAAGCTTTCAAAGAAATAAATTTTTCATTTCTATGAGACCTAAAAATTTTCTTTGTGTGTCGTGCTTTTGATGTTAAGTCAAAAAAGTCATTACCTATCTTGTATCCTAAAGAATTTTTCCATGTTGTTTTTGAAAAATTCTGTATTTTTATGTTTTATATTTAAGTTAATTTTTATGTACAGTGTGAGATTTAGGTCAAGGTTCAGTTTTTAAATTTTTAAAAAATTTTCTATTTTTACCTAGGTGCAATGATGCATACCTATAGTCCCAGAGATTTAGGAGACTGAGGAAGGAGGATCACAAATTCGAGGAGGCCAGGCTAAGCAAATTAGGACCTAAGCAGTTTAGTGAGACTCTATCTCAAAATAAAAAGGGCTAGGGATATAACTCAGTAGTAAAGCACCCATGGGTTTAATCCCCAGTACCAAAAAAAAAAAAAAATTCTAGGCTTAAAAGCAATACTGTTGTTCCAGCACTATTTGTGGAAAAGGCTGCTCTTCCTCTATTGATTGCTGTTATACTTTTGTCAAAAATTGTTGGGCATATTTATATGGCTCTATTTATGGTTTTATATTATATTCCTTGGATCTGTATATATGTCCTGCCAATATTACTCTTTGGATTTCTATAGTTATGTACTAAGTTTTAACATCAGATAGAATGATTCCTTCCACTTTTATTATTCGTTTTCAAAGTTGTTTGAGCATTATAGGGTCTGTGTTTTCTGATACAAATTTTAGAATTAGCTGGATATGTTTACAAAAAGAATTTGATGTGATTTTGTTAGAAATTATCTTAAATTTGTAGATTAATTTGGAAGAATTGACATTTTTGCTATGATGAATCATCTAATCCATGAGTGTGGTGATATATCTTTCCTTTCATTTAGGTGGTATTTGTGTTTTTTCATCATTTTGTAATTTTCAGACCCTGTAGATGTTTTGTTAGATTTATCCTGTTTCATTTTCTTTAGAGCAAATGTAAATGGTATTGTTTTTCTTTCAATTTCCACATTCCTACTGTAATGAACATGAAATGTAGAAATACAGTTGGTTTTGTAAGTTGATCTCGTATCCTGTGACCTTTCTTTTTGAATTTTGAATTCACTTATTAATTCTGAAAGATTTTTATTTAGTTTTTGTTTCTTTGAAATTTTCTATATTTATGATTTTTGCTATCTGCAAATAGATTTATCTTTTCCTGGCCTAATTTGTTTTGTAATGTACCCTAATAAGATATGAAAAGACAGGTTAAAAATTGGAAGAAATGTTCGCAAGCCAAGAAAAGTCTTGCATTTAAAATATATAAAGGATCCTCAAAAATCAGTAGTGAAACAACAACAATAAACAAACCAGTTAGAGATTGGTAAAAGACATGACCAGAGTTTTTAACAGAGTATACAGATGACAAGTACATGAAAAGATTGTCAGCTTCATTATCTTTTGGGAAGCAAATTAAACCTTGATGTGTGTACTATTGTCAGAATAGCTAATATAAAAATAGTGACACCATAAAATACTGGTGCAGATTTAGAGAAATGCTGGCAAAGATTCAGAGAAACTGGATTACCCTTATATTACCTATACTCATACATTGGGAACTTACAATGGTACAGCTACTCTAGAAAATACTTTTGTAGTTTCCTTAAAGAAACTAAACTTATCATATAATCCATCAGTAGGATTCTTGGGCATTTATCCCATAAATGAAAATTTCATACAAGAATTTGTACAAAGATGTTCCTAGCACATTTTTTCATAACACCTCCATACTGGAAACCAGTACACATCCATACCATGGATTACTATTTAGCAATAAAAACAGGAATGAGACCACTAATAAATGGAATAACTTGGATAAATCTCAAAACAGTTACCCTGAAAGAAAAAAATCAACCTCAAAAAGTTAGATATTAAACAGGAATGAGACCACTAATAAATGGAATAACTTGGATAAATCTCAAAACAGTTACCCTGAGAGAAAAAAATCAACCTCAAAAAGTTAGATATTGTCATTCAATTCAGTAACTTTCTTGAAATAATACTACTATAAAGATGAAGAAGAGATCACTGGTTGTCAGGGGTTTATGATCTGGTCGCTGGCTGTGAAGGAATAGCACAAGGAAATCTTGTGGTATAAAGGATCAGCTCTGTATTATGATAGTGGTTGTGGTTACATGAATCATCATAAGTAATAAAATTGTATAGAAATCCACATAAATACACATACATGACTGCATAAAACTAGTGAAATCTGAATAAGCTCTGTGAATTGTTCCAGCGACAACTTCCTTTTTTTTATATTGCACTATAATTATGCTGGATAGTAGTACCATTGAGGGAAGTTGGAAGAAAGAAGGACCTTCCTGTACAACTTCCTGTTTACCTTTGTTACAAAAATAAAAATATTTAGAAAGCTTTAATTATTATTTTTATTATGAAGATGATAAGAATGACATGTTATAAATATAAAGGAATGCCTATTTTTAATATTTTTTTCAATGTTGGGGATTGAACCAGGGCCTTATACATGCTTGGCAAGCTCTCTGTTCTGCCACTGAGCTACATCCCCTGCACTAAAAAAAAAAAAAAAAAAAAAAAAAAAAAAAAAAAAAAAAAAAAAAAAAAAAAAACAAAAACAACTTTATATTCTTTTGGATTAAAATATTTCATGTTGACATGGCCTTGCAATACATGACTGTAATGAGCTTGTATCACATAGGACTCTTCAGGCAAGATCAGCAACTCCTAAGGTGGTCTGTGACTTGTTCAGCTGGTCATACTCCTAATGCTGCTCCAATATTAGATTGCTCTAAGTTTCTAAATACCTCCTAGAAAGTATCTGTTCTCACTGTGGATAGCACCCAATTCTTGCAACCTGCACCCACTCAGTAAACACTCCAGGTTGTACCAGTCTCTGCATAAAGGTGCAGAATCTGGTGTTGAACCAACTTTTGTTCAAGTTTCCATTTGAGTTGACAGGGCTGCTTATAGGAGAAACAGCTATGCTACTCTTGAAGGTAGAGAAAATCTTCTGTTTTCCCAGTCTTACATTGCGGCTTTCAGTTCTTCCATTGGATAACACAAAGGTGTATGCAAGGGCAAATATGTTGTTATTTCTTTTTAAGATCATTTTGTTTGTATATTGGAGAATATTTTTTATTATAAATGATTGCTTCCTGCATTTTCCTGAAAACCTATTACAATAAGTCTTTCTTATTTATTGGAGTAAGTTTAAAAAGGCACATTTTCTAGTGACTGGAAATGAGAAATTTCTGGTTACATGTCGACATCTCTTTTGCTAAAAAGAGGTATGTAGTACTCATTTGACAATCCCTGGGGTTGTGCTTTTCCCCCTTCATGAATAATACAAAATTACTGTCATCTTATTACAGTTCAGCTTTGAGAATATAGTGACCCAAATGAGAGAACAACGTTCTGGCATGATTCAAACGAAGGTAAGTTTTTTGCCATGTAAATTCTAATAAGAATAGTGAACACAAAGATTAACATTGTATAGCACTTGGTAATTTATAAAGCTCTTTTATATACCTGGTATAACTGAATTCTTACTATTTGAGGTAGACATTAGTAAATATCATTTTGCTATGATACTCTTATGAAGAACTTAAGGCAATGAAGCAATGAAGTCTTCTCCACTGGGTCACTCAGATAGCAAGGGAAGGAGCTGCCAACATTGTAACTGAAGTCTGATGCCTAAACACATGCCTTTTCTATAATGCCATGCTATTTAAGACTAGTATCAAAAGTTATTTGATAATTTCTGGATATCAATTTGAGATACCTACTTGCCAGTAAATATTGTTATTGGCATGTCATAAAAAGAGAAAATTTTATGTCATAGATTAGTTATTCACTATGAGAAGAGAGTATTTAAAATGAAAATAATTATAGTTATTCACTATGAGAAGAGAGTATTTAAAATGAAAATAATTACCCACAAATTTTTATATATATGGAATTTAGATTTTATATATATAAAGATTAGTATAAGAGGCTGTTTAGAATTTTATATAGGATTAGCTCTGTGGATTATCTCAGTGACAATTTCCTGGTTTTGATATTGTACTAAGATTATGCAGGGTATTATCATTGGGGGAAGTTGGGAGAAGGACCTTTCTGTACAACTTCCAATTTACTACCTATGCTACAAAATAAAAAGTATTTAAAAAGACAATTAAATTTTTTCTTGTAAAGATGCAAAAATGACAAGGTATAAAACAAAGAATTGTGTACCTTTATTTTTTAATACTTCTTCTGATACCACTCCATTCTCAGGAAGTATTTGTGGGTGCTGGTAGATATCTCAAATTGTTATCCATAAGTTTATTAACAAATAATTTTAGATAAGTCACTTAAACAGCATGGCATTATGGAAAAACCATGTTTTTAGGCATCAGACTTCAGTTTATAAGAACTTCAGATATAAGGAAAATGAGATAGTTTCCCCTTAGTTTAGTTAAGACTTCAATAAACTACGTCTAGACTGAGAACTGTATTATGATCATTTAACTATCTTCCTCATGTTTTGTTAATTTTTTTTTCAATTAGCAATAATCACATCTCATATCAACCTCATTGATTATGACACTACCACTATGAAAAGCTATCTTCTTCATAGTTTAAAATATATATTTAGATAAAGATGTTCTTACTTAAGTTACTTATTTGTAGTTAAGTGTTTGCTCTTTCAGGGAGTTATCCTATGTGGTTGAAAAATTACAAATGTGTTCTCCAAAAGTGGCTATTAGTGTTAATTACTTATCATTGTGTTGTTTTTCATATATATGTATGTATATAGGAGCAGTATCAATTTTGCCATGTAATTGTGCTTGAAGTTCTTCGGAAACTTCTGAGTTTGAATTGAGAAAGACTTCTGTTCCTCTCACTTGAAATTACCAAGTGTCTCGGAGTTCACGCTGCAGTGAAGAGAGTTGTTAAACATACAATATGCATTTCTGGTATATCAGTCGATTTTGTTTTTTTTCATTTCCCAGATCTTCCTGAAGGCAGCATCATTTGTTGTGGGGTTAACAGTGTTTACTCATCGACCTTACTGGACATTATCAGGACATTCTCCCATGTTTTTCAGTGAAACAAAAGTTACATAAAAACAACTACAGCTTGGCTATTTGGTTGAAGGGATTACAATGCCCAGTAAAGGATAATTAGCCCATATTAATTATGGATTGGTGGGTTTTATTGTATACTATTCAAACATATATAAAAATATAATTTGATTAATTTTGCTCCCCAATTTCAAGACAAATGTGTATCCATATTCTTTAGCTAGAGTCTGTACTTCCAGCTGGTCTTTGAATGACTCAATTTAAAAGGAGTCCAATGAGGATGGATTAACTTTGACATCAATTACTTCCATTTCCTATTCTTCTTGTTAGGCTCTAGGATTTGAGAAGACACTGTTTTTCTAGAGCAGCAAGACAAGGCCTTCTTGCTCTGGGAAGCACCTCATAGGTAGGCAGAGTCCCTCTTCTCTATTACATGGATGCCGTGATGAACAGTTCAAATGTAAAATAGTTGATTATATAGAGAGCCCAAGAACAAATGTTTGCCCAGCCCAATTTCTTTCCAATCCCCCTCTAACACTTAACGTATTACTCAGGTTGCTTTGTTAAAAAGCAAATCTTACATTTTACTTAGTTCTTACCATTTACTTGACCAACAAACTTTGATATAAGCATCATTATGTAATTCTGAGACATTCATTATATCTTTTATATAAGATGTATTTTTCAAACTAAGATTTACAATAGTTTTTTTTTTTTCATTCCAGAGGCCCATTAAGTCATTTCTTTCCATTGTTGCCCTACTCTGCTAAAATATTTAGATATTGGATCTTGGAATTAATTTTGGAAAACCAAATTTATTTGTGTTCATAAACCAAATTTATGGACAGAAAATATCCACACTCTAGTTTCAAAAATATTCTGGCCATTATTTCATTCACTTTATTATAGGAGTTTGCTTTATACAATTATAATCATATTTTTTTTTGGTCAAGAAGTTTTGGTGACCACATTATAAGCCACAGAACAACTGATAATTTTCTTTGTATAGTATAATTCAGTTGAGATCAAAATATTCTATCATTATATTGAAAAATTTCTAATATTAATCTTTAAGTACTAAATTTCTAAGAGGCTTATTGTTTTGGCTGAATGAAAACAAATTGGCTGGGGGCTGGAGATGTGGCTCAAGTGGTAGCCTGCTTGCCAGGCATGAGCGCTGTGCTGGGTTTGATCCTCAGCACCACATACAAATAAAGATGTTGTGTCTGCCAAAAACTAAAAAATAAATATTTAAAAATTCTCTCTCTCTCTCTCTCTCTCTCTCTCTCTCTCTCTCTCTCTTAAAAAAAGGAAAACAAATTGGCTGAATTAAAAATTATAATTCTTATTTTAAAAATAATTCTATAGAAATGTATTTGATATTAAATCAAATTGATGATTCTAGCCATCTACATTGTTTATATAAATAAGTCTATGCTCATCATTAATTTCATTTTAAAAATATTTGAATCTGTAATAATTATATCTATAATTTCATTTTCATTGTTAACTGTAAAATAATAGGTATAATGTATAACAGTTTCTGAGAAGGACTCTATGCTGTTATTTAAATGAAAATGTTTACTATGTATTGCCTGAAGTATTTTTATTTTATTTATCTCAGCCTTGAAATGTTTTTGTAAAGAAAAATCCTCTCATCTTGATTTGAAACATGTCCCTTCTTTAATATTTGCCTCATATTTTTACAGCTGGACTATTTTTAGTTTTGCAGGGAAATTTAATAATTAAATATGGAAATACTGATTGCATTTGTTTTCATTTCCTTCTTGGAAGGTGAATTCAAATTAAAAACTTTTGATGAATTGAAATACTAAGTTTTATACTAATAATGAATCATTTTCTGCCTAGGAGATGAATATGAAACTTTCATTGACACCTCTGTGAGTATATGAAAGCCAATTTAAAGGAGGTTTTAAAATATTTAAGTATAAGTATATTATACATTTATTAGCTTTCAACTTGAAATACATATTTTTAATGATGCTTAGGTGTTCAATCAAAGCTTTTCAGAAATAAACATTATAGAATTTACTCTCATATCAGTATAAATCATTTATTTTTCTTTGGTCCGTTTACTTCTGAATCTTCATAGAATATTATTGAACTTTCAGTAAAGTTTACATTTATTACTCAAAAGTCATTTCAGTGATTTATTTCTATTGAAAAATTTGAAAAGAAAATACCTTGAAAAACTCTAAAACAAGAAAGTTCTGTTTCCTACTTAATTTTTCCAGTCCCTAATAAGAATTAACTTTCTTTTAAGTTGTCTCAAGGTTTGAGTAATTGAACCAGAAGATTTGGAAAGTATCCATTAAGAAAACAGGGCAGTGGAATTCAATGGAGGTGATGGATTGCTTAATGTAGCCCTTATTGGTCTATAGCTATAATCCAAATGTACTAATAAATGGTGCTTCTATAAATACTGAAATTCATGTATACTATAACTATAATGGGCTAATAAAACATTTTTTAAAAAGTAGCAGTAATGGGCTGGGGATGTGGCTCAAGTGGTAGCGCGCTCGCCTGGCATGTGTGCGGCCCGGGTTCGATCCTCAGCACCACATACCAACAAAGATGTTGAGTCTGCCGAGAACTAAAAAATAAATATTAAAAATTCTCTCTATCTCTCTCTCTCCTCTCTCACTCTCTCTTAAAAAAAGTAGCAGTAATTATCTCATCATGAATTACAAAGTATCTTAAAAGATATCTAATATAAGTCAGGCACAGTGGTGCTTGGCTGTAATCTCAGTAACTCAGAAGGCTGGGGTAGAAGGTCAGCCTCAGTAGTTTAGAGGGAACCTAAGCAACTTAGTGAGACCCTATCTCAAAATAAAACATGAAAAAACAACTGGATATATGGCTCAGTTCCCCCTGTATAAAAAATAAAACACGATGAAGCACATGTTTTAGAAACCAACCACAACATCAGATTTGAGGGTACAAAAATACAGCCTTCCATTCAATAAAACAGTACCTCCTGTTAGCACTATAGCTGAGGATTGCTCCAAAGTTATTTTACCAATGTAGTAATGATACAAAAGAGGAATGATTGGGATACATATTGAAAAAATAGACCAAAATGATCATTTGTTTATTTGCTCACATAATAATAATAGACTACTGCAAAAATCAGAAAATTCATTAAGAAGTCAAGATACATGATAACTATTTAAAATTAATCTTTCTGTACATCTGTTAATCATTCTGTAGTTAGCACACTATGACTTCTTGGCCATATCTGAGCTGTTGCCTTTTTTAAAAAGTATTTTTTAAAAATTTAAAATTCTTTTTTAGATATACATAACGGTAAAGTGTTGAATTCATTTTAGTCGATTTTTTTGTGGGGGTAATAAGGGAAAAAAAATCAGCAAAATAAGATCCCATCTTCTGTTCATTTAGAAGTCAGCATCCAAGGTAAAATAATTCCCTGTTGGATTTGACATCTCTCCCACCCTCTGATACTCACCTACTTTCTTCTCAAAGAAGTTAATCTTGTCTTCCATTAAATATTCTCCATAAAGTCAAATGAATTTTCTACTCTGAAAACCTTGCTAAAGCCCAGCTTCATCATAAACCTGTGTGCCACGAATTCAATATACTGCTTCATCAAAGTGCAGTTTATCCCAGTGAACTTCACAGGCAAAGCCTCCATGATGAACTCCTGTTCTAAGCTGACAGCATTGATAAATATTTCTTTTACTCTCTGCTCCAATGGTTTGTGTAGCAGGTGTTTGAACATCAGGCAAGCAGAGTCATAAAGTAAACCCTCATCTCTGCTAATAAGTTCACTGGAAACTTAGGCCAGGCATCAATCCCTGTTTCTTGAACTAGAATATTGATTCAAAAGAAACATAGAAGAAGTTTCCTTCCACAGCCACAAAGGCTACAACACATTCTCTGTAGGTAGCTTCTTTGTCCCCAATCCAATGCAAGACCTAATTTGCTTTTTTCTTTACATAAGGCATTGTTTCAATGGCATTGAAGAGAAATTCCCTTTCTTTGAAATCTTTTAAGTGTCAATAAGGAGACTATACATTTCACAATGTAGTTTTTCATGGCAATTTGGAAGTCATAGAAACAGTGAACTTCTGTAATTTGAACTTCCTGGCTTAATCACTCCACCAAATTTTCATTTACTATGCCATCACTTGCTGCAAAGAAATTCATAATATGAGACATAAAATATCATTCCTCAGATTTCAGGGCTTCCTAGTGCAGAATGTCCTTGGAAATAGCCACCTCCCCATATGTCAAAAAGGAACCTTCAGCCTTCTTAGAAATCTGCCAAATATCATGGTATCTGATAGGAAAGAAGACAAAGCAGTGAGGGTTCTCACTCAGTTTAGTAGTTCATCCTCCGTGCTGGGGGCAGTACTTTAGTTTTCAGCTCCATGGGCTCCTAGAAGATGCTCCTTGCAGTCTTACTGACTAGGATTCAGGTCCCACTGAGGGCTGGGGGGTGTTTTCCTTGTCTGTCAGGCTGAACCCCTTCAGTGGTAAGAGCTGCAGCTGCTGCTGGTCTGAGATGCTGGTGAGTGGTGGCATTTGCAGACATGGAGGTGATAGTGGACAAAGTGGCTAAGTGGGACCTGCAACACTCAATATCTGTAATTATAAGTGTCACAATAAACAGAAGTGATGAGATCAGTTATTTCCCATCATAAAAACTGCACATTTGCAAAAAGGTTTACAATTTCGAATAGTGATCAGGGAAAGAACAGAAGTGATGTATGATTATGAGGCTGGAGGAGAGAAAATAGAAGTAAAAAGTTAAAGGAAGAGTGAAAGAAAGAACAATAGAAATTGGCTGTTAGCAAAAGAAAAGAGAGAATCTAGGGAAACAAGTGAAAGAAAAAATATGTATAGTAAAAACAACAACAAAAAAGAATACAAAACTTAAATATACTAATAAACATTCTAATCCTCAAAATACTGATTCATGAAAAATGCTAGAAATGAGAAAAAAAGAAACAAATATGAATATGTATAAGTGTCCAAAAACCATTTAGGTTACAGTTAAACAAAGAAAAAAAATTAAAAGGGGAAAAAAAGAGATCTTAATGGAAGTTAAAGAATTGTTTCTGTTGGAGTTCAAAATACTCTCGGCTCCCCTTCTCAGCAATGTTAGGTAGGGTGGACTGGAGTGTGATATCAGCCCCAACCTCAGGGTGGGGTCACTGGTATGTTCTGTGAGTGGAAATCCTGTAGATAGAGCTCCTGGAGGTAGGATTTAGGCTTCCATATGCTCCAGGTTCCTCATTGAATGGCTATTGGTCTGAAGATTTTAAATCAGCGCACCTCCAGGGCTTAGCAGTTGCTGGCCCACATTTAGGAGACTCTACCCTAAGGATCTCACCTAGGTTCCACTTGTGCAGTGGAAGAGCTAATCCTTAGTTCCCTCTGACACCTGCAGACCTTGTGTTTTGTGGTCTTTGTGGTTCTTCAGTTCAGTCTCTGAACTAAATCACTCCTGCCCCTGCCCTTTCAAATTCCCAACAGGGCCTGTCTCTGGTCATGCAAGTGGCTGGATTGGAGGGGGAGGGAGAAAACCAAGTGAGTTTCCAAGATCTGTATTCCCGGATGTACACTGCTCTCTGTGTTTGATTTTCTCCTGGTTACTTAGGCACACTCTATGTTTGGTGTGGGTTTGCCAGGGCTGTATTTCTGGCTAAGTTTGGGTTTGCCAGGAATCACTCCCCCCAGCAGCTGGACCCCATGCCGAGGCTGCAGAATGGTTCCTTCCTTTGTACTCTCCAGGAGGGATACACTTTACCACACAAGGATACTGTGCAAAACACCTTTCAGTTTAGTGGAGCCATGTCTTTGATCTCTTTTTTATTTTATTTTATTTTATTTTTTATTGTTGGTTGTTCAAAACATTACATAGTTCTTGATATATCGTATTTCACACTTTGATTCAAGTGGGTTATGAACTCCCATTTTTACCCCGTATACAGATTGCAGAATCACATCAGTTACACTTCCATTGATTTACATATTGCCATAC